GAAAGGAGAAAAATCAAGGTTTTTTTTTCTGTTTTCTCCTTTTTTTTTTCTTTTTTTTTTTGGGTTTGGCTGCTTTGGTAGCCGCACCGGACCTCCTCCTTTTCCCTTTAAAAGAGAAAAAGAGAGGAAACTAGGTTTTGTTAAATTTGGGTTTGATGGGATGCTCAATATTGGGCTGGGCTTATGAGTTTGTTTTAGTAAATTTTATCCTCAGCTTTTTAATATTTTCAATTGAGTCCCTTTCTTGTTTTTTTTCTTCAACTTCTCCCCCAAATTTTTCATAAAATTTTTTATAACGATAAATCCGAAACGATACGCGAAAAATTTCGGTATCCGGTACGTACCGTTCCAGTAACAAAATCAGTACGCATGCCGGTACGATATTTAATACTTTGTGTGATAGGCCTAACCCAACAAATAACATACTTAATCAACAGTTTCTTAAATTGTCTCCCCATCAACATCACAATACATCTTGTCTTGCGTTCCCACTAGAGGGTTTACCCGCTGACATGCGAATGGGGATTTCTATTTGGTTGCCCTATTGTCAAGATTAGCACACAGCCATTTTGTCAAGATTAGCACACAGCCATTTTGTCACTCTGCCTAACTTTCTCCGTCAACATTATAACAAAACTTCATTTTGCCCTATTGACATGCGAATGGAAATTTCTATTTGGTTGCCCTATTGTCAAGATTAGCACACAGCCATTTTGTCACTCTGCCTAACTTTCTCCGTCAACATTATAACAAAACTTCATTCCACGAGAAATTTTTTTTCGAGAAAATACAGCCATTTGGAGAATAAATTGTTTTTTTTTTTTTTATGGTAAAATAAATTGTTAAATCTGATGTAATTTAATAAAGGAATTGCACATGTTACTCTGAGTTTAGTCCTAGTTATTGCAGTATCAAGTTTCCTTCTTTCTCAAAAAAAAGAAACAAAAAATGGTTTAATACGGTATTCAACTTAGGAATAATCTTCTATTAATTCATAACTTTCACAACGTGCACGTGGCTTCAGCCAATAAAAAAATTAACACATAGCACCTAGGCCGAGACGCAATCTCCGTTAGAAACGTTGTCTGGGGAAGACAAGTATTCATTATTCCAGATTTCATAATAATCGCTAACTGATAAACGAAATGGTACTTCTTCATAAGTATAGCCACCTTGAGGGTTGACAACCTTCATGACCAGGTCTGCTTTCTCCTGCAGCTCCAATGCGAGTTCTAATTTCACCTCAACTTCTCCAATTGAAGGTCGTTCACTTGCCTTTGGATGAACACAACTAAGAGCAATCTCCACGAATTCTATCAAACACGCTGGTGCTAGCTTTCCTTTCAGATATGGATCAATGATATCATGAATACTTCCAGCTTTGATGCATTTACTTATCCAGAAAACTACATTTTCTTTGGAATTTACGAACTCTTTTACCAACCTACCACACAATACTTCAAACAAAACAACACCAAGTGAGAACACATCACATTTTTCGGTAAGTTCACCACGCATTTGATACTCTGGAGCCATGTAGCCATTATTCCTACTTGGAAGAGATTCCATTTTTGTCAAAACCTTTGGCTTCGGCTTTGACATGCTTGGGGAGCCAATCTTGGAAAAACCGAAATCAGCAAGCTTAGCAGTCCATTTATTGTCCAGACGAATATTAGAACTCCTGATATCATGGTGGATTATTAAATACTTTGCGCCAGTGTGCAGGTAATGTAATCCACGCGATGCCCCAATGCATATCTCTAGCCTCCGCTTCCATGGGAGTGGATCAGCGCCCGCATGAAGATGATCACACAATGCCCTATTGGTCATGTATTCATACACAAGCATCCTCTCACCATTCTCGTAACAGAAGCCGAGGAGGGAGACAAGATTCTGGTGACGCAGCTGGCAGATCAACTTCATCTCAGTTCGGAAGTATTCAATTCCATCTAGTGATGATATTGAGCACCTACTACAACGTTTCACAGCAACTAAGGTACCGCCATCAATAATTCCTTTGTAACCTGAGCCCAAACTATGGCCTCCTGTACCGATGATAGAATCATTAGCAAAGTTGTTGGTGGCTGCTCTGAGCTCCGCTAGTGAAAACTGACGACATAGTTCCTCTTCAAGGGCTGAAGGTAGTCTCCTAAATTGACGACGAAATAGTTCCTCGTGAAGTGTTGAAGGCGGTCTCCTCTCCCTTACTCGAGATTCAACTGATATTTTCTTAAGAAATTTGAAGAAAATTTGAAGAGACATTGAGTCTGGTATCATTGTGGAAGTTGGGGTTTTATTTTGATAAAATGTAGTTGGGAAAGCAAATCTGCATCACATCTAATTCTCTGTCTTCATGTATACGGCTATTATTATTATTATTATAAAGTATTTTACAACTCGTTTTCTTAATTTTTTTTAAGGATATATTTAAAAACTCATTTTTTAATTTATATTTTTAAAAATTAATTGTTAGATGAAATGTTTTATTCATATAAATCATGCATATTAATTTTTAAATTATTTTAATAGATTAATTATTTCATTGATTATAAATAATTTTAACATAGTTAAATATATGTTAATAAATAAAGTTTTTTATCAAATGGTTATAAGTATTGAATTGATATAAAAATTAATATGAATGATTTACAAAAATAAAATTTTTAATCAAATTGTTGGTTTTTAAAAAATATTAATTAAAAAGTAAGTTTTTAGACAAGTTTTCCTAAAAAATTTTAAGAGGATGACTTACCTTACAATTATCTTCTCATTATTATTAAATTATTTACTTTAGGTGTCCATTGAATTGAACCTATAAAATAACACATACTTATTAATAGATCAAATTTGTATATCTAGTTCATTGAATCTACATTTCAATTAAACCATGATGGATGAGGGGGTCTTGCCTATGAACCCATGGTGTCTCATCATTCAATAGCTAGTAAACCACCAGGACTGAGCCAGGACCAGTTATGGGTCTCAAACAATGCATGAGTTTCCAAGTTCAGGACCAGATTGGACCCATTTTATTTGTTGTTTTATTTTTCTTTTTTCTTTCTAATTAATTAAACTTTTTATAATATATTTAATTAGAGAGAAATTAAAAAAAATAAAAAGTGAAATTTTTAATTAATTAAATTATAATATTTTTAAATATTATAATCCGATTATTTAAAAAATTTATCCTTTCCCTTTATTTTCCTCAAAACAAGCATATTCTTAAAAAATTAGAATAAGTAAACACAAAGGCACAAATACAAAACCTCATACCACAAAGGATCAGTCCCTGATAAAGACCAAGACCGGCTTTTTCTCGTTGCAAAGGCAAGCCAGTCTCGCGAGTCCCAATCCCGGACTTAACCCTGGACCACTCGATAGGAACCCTACTAATGTTTTGTAGTGTTCTGCACTCCACGCTGCAAGATTTGTGACCTTAGAGACCAGTTTGGTGTTCTGGTCAGAAAAGAGAACAAAGCTTTAGTTTTTTTGTCTATTGCAGCATTTTCAAAATCCTAACTTTGTTTTCTGTATGAAAACAGCCCAGTTAAACTATTTTAGGCTCAAAAGGGACCAAAACTACATCTCAGTGAAACTTTTTTTTGGGTCAAAAAGGGCCTAAAACTACATCGTTTTGACCCATTCTAGTAAAAAATATATATATTGACTGGCCTGACAAGCATTGCACATCACAGACTACATCATTTTGAGCCATTCTAGTCGAAAATAATGTTGACTGGCCTGACAAGCGTTGACTAGGCCTAACGAACCGGCAGTTTGGATCTTGTTTTTGTTCGGGCAACCAGGGAGAGGGATTATTTGGGTTATAAATAGGTTGTAGGTTGGAAAAGTGTAATTTTAATTTAATTTTAACGGATTATGGGTTAATATGTAAGTTTGCTTCATTTTTATATAATTATTTTATTAATTTTATTATATATAAATAAAATTATAAGTATTTAAATTTAATTAAAATTTAAAATTCTAAAATATTGTAACTCATTAATACTAAAAATTTTATAATCTCCACCATATATATATTTAAACTAAAAAAAATCATAAAATTATAAATAAAAATAAGTTAATTAACAATATTAAATTTAAAATATTTAAATTTCTTGAAAAATAAAATTTTAATTTTACAGTAATCAGCTTAAAACATTATGAAGGAGTTTAAATTTCTCTTCACAATGAAATTGCTCTTTTAAGAACATATTTCACTAAATCATTATGTTTATATCTTAGCATCATATTTTTAATATTTTTAGTTATATTATCATTTAATTCATTACACTTAATAATTAAATCAATTCCACATAATTTCTAGAGAATAAGAAATAGTAATAAGCAAACATTTAAAATAATTTCAAAAATATTTGAGTAATGAAAAGGAAGTTAAAGAGTATAAATAAATGGATAAAATTATCAACAATAAAATTAATTAAAAATAATAAATATAATATTTTAATAATAAAAATAAAATAAAATAAACAGATTAATCCATCAACTTTCAAGTTAATTCTAATCCAACCTACATTATAAGTTGTTTACGAATTACAACTAAATCAAAATATATAGATCATAACCTATTTTTAGGTGTTGAGCCACCCCTAGCAGTGACGCACATCACAGGCTACATCACTTCAACCCACTCTAGTAAAAATGTAATATTGACTGGCCTGACAAGCAACGACGCACATCACAGACTTGTGGCAGGCAGCATGCCACGTTCCCACTAAGCCATTGGATTTTGATCCTTTTTTAAAAAAAAAAAATTCGAATTCAATTATTTTAAAAAAATTGTATAAAATATGAATAGAATTAAATAATAATTGTGTAGTTTTTTAGAAAATTTTGGGTAAAAATAATAAAATATGCTTTGGAATGAAGATATTTTATTAGTTATTTTATTTAAAAATTAAATATATAAA